TTCCTTCCTTCCTTCCTTCCTTCCTTCCTTCCTTCCTTCCTTCCTTCCTTCCTTCCTTCCTTCCTTCCTTCCTTCCTTGTTTTCTTCCTTCCTTGCTTTCTTGCTTCCTTGCATTCTTTCTGCAGTATTGGGGTTTGAACTTGCTCTGTAGGCTCCAGCCCTGTTTTGCATAGGTTATTTTTTGAAATACGATCTTCCACTCTTACCCTTGCCTGGGTGCACACCTGTACAAAGTTCCCTCTGTTTTAAGCTTCCCTTAACAAGCCGGGATGACAGGTGTCCACCACTGCACCCAGTTATTGGTTGAGAAGGTGTCTCTTTAGTATGACCTGGCTAGTTCAGGAAGATTGAGACCTTCCTGAACTCAGCCTCCCAAGTAGCTAGGATTATAGGCATGCACCCTCAACTGTTCATGGATGTATAATTGTTAGGTGTGACAGAGCATTCTGTAGCATTTTTTTTCTTCCCTTATGATAGCATATGTGGCAAAGTGTCTCTTGGTAGGACCATTTGGGTGGATTGAATCATTAGCTGTATATGCAAAGAGGGTGGTTCTCAGGCCTATTAGGAAACTTCTGCTGGTAAATTCTTGCTCTTCGGCATTCCTCTCCAACCTCTGGCCAATGATACATCTCTCTTCTATTAGGAGCTGTTTCTTTCATTCCAGGAATAATCTTATTAGTTGAGGGTAAGGTTTTATTTGATAGTAAAAGATATTCTCTAGACTGGATGTGAAAGATTATTTCGTAGACTAGGACCATCATCAGGAGAATATTAAGTATTGATTGATGACATAGATGAGACTTATTTCTGTTAAGTCTTCCCGGTTTTAGTTCATTCTTTAAAAATAAACCCCCAAACTTCCAGTTTTTAAAATAGTGAGGCATTCTCACAGCTTGCTTAGTTACATAGATTGATGGAAGTTTTAGATATTTTGATCACCAAACCATAGCAGGCATAAGTGTATTTCTCAGGAAATAAGATACCCTACTTGCAGCAATACAGTAACTACTTTTAAGAAATCATTCCTGGAAGAATGATGTTTCTGAATAGTTATATTCAGTCTCACTCAGGTAGTATTTGTCTTACTGCTCCTTTCCTAATAGACATTAAAAGCATTGAGTCTTTTGTATTGAAAGAATGTACACCAAAATATTTAAATTGGGTATTTTAATTTTTCCAAAATGTTTCTCCTTTGTAAAATGAAACAAAATAAATCTAATTTAGTACTTGAAAATTACTTGTGGATTCATTCTTCTCAGTAAAGCAACCTCTCTCTTTCTGTCTCTCTGTCTCTGTTTACTGTCCTGTCCTGCTTATGAATGTGATAGCATGACTTGTGTTGCTTTAGTATGCTGTGTAATGTCCAACACAAAAATTTGATGACTTATTTGGATGCTCAAATATAAATTGTTTACCTTTTTCTTATACCACTATCCCAGATAGTAGAGTTTCAGAGATGAACATTTGCCATTTCAAGTGAAATAGCCTATTTTGGCCAGCTACACTAACCTTACTCATAAAGTGATAGAAAAATACCATATCCTTTGCAAGAATAACCAGCTTCCCATGATGATTTAAAAGATAGTGTACCAGTTATTTCCTAAAATGGATTCTAGAAGTGTCAAAACACTTGAAAAAAAATCTAAATTTGAAGTCTTTAAAGTTGATTCAGTGCCACAGATAAAGTTCTCAAGGCAATAGGCAGGTTGTAATTTTCTTTGTAGTAAAAGTTCTCCTTAATATCCTATAGAAATCTGATTATATAATTGATTTCCTTTTCCCAAAATAGTTCTCAGAGTTTGAATATTAACTGTGGCACTAGTTTTAGGCTATTCATATTCCCATCCTGATAGCACTTCTTGAGTTTTAGCCCATCTTTTCCTTCTTACGTTTGCACAGCTATCCTGATTGCTTTGGATCAGTCTGTCACCACTAGATTCTAAGAAACTATTAAACAAGTTCATTCATTTCCTTTACAGATGTGGAATCTGAAGCCCAGGTTTTCTCTGAGACTCTAACTAATGTTCTCATGTATTTGTTGATTATATTTTCATAAAAAGAGATATGTTTTGAGGAAATTATGCAGCAGAAACAAGGATAGTTCATTACAGATACAGTTCTCATTTAATCAGTTTTAAAGCATGGTAGGGAAACAAATATGTAGCTTTTCTGATTTTTTAAAATTATTATCTTTAAGTAGTTGTACAAAGAAGTCCCATTCTACAAAACAGTATATGAGTACAAAGAAAATATGAAGCTAATCGATAATTTCTTTACAAAAACTCTGGAAAGTATGTAAGTGAAACTGTTACTGGTTACTAGTTTGTCTAAAGTACAAAAATACGCAAGACAAGTTTAATAGAGAATAACTGGTGACTCAGCTATCATATATGAGAACTTAGTATTATGAGCCATTCATATAATGTCTCTATAAAGAGGTTTTTAAATCTGATGCATATTAGCATTGAAGAAAGTTCTGGAGACAAATTCCTACAATTTGAGTTGTAACCACAAGTATTGGCATAAATAGTTTAGATTAATAGTACCTTCCACCTTCTTTCCTATGTGAGCAAGATCTTAAGAGAGAAGAAAGAAAACTTATACAACAGTTTTGTGTATTTGAAGGAAGCACAAAGATTTGTATTGTGTTTGGTTAGTTTAAAATGTAGTATTGATTTAATTATTTAAATATTTAGTTATTTAGTTTTGTGTTGGTACTAGGGTTTAATTCCACTCAAAGATGATGCCAGTTGACCACAGATCCAATTCTGGCTTCTTTTTGGTGGCTACTTAGAAATAAGGGTTTCACAGACTTCCCTGTCCAGGATGACTTTGAATCAGGATCCTTAGATCTCAGCTTCCAAAGTAGCTAGGATTACAGGCCCGAAGTGTTTGGTTTAGAGTGTACATTTTTAGCCAGGCATAGTGGCTTGTGTTGGCAATCCTAGCTACTTGGGAGCCTGAGATCTGGAAGACTGTGGTTTGAGGCTCTCCCAAGCCAAAAGAAGTATGTTAGACTTCATCTCGACCAATAAAATACTGGGCACTGGGCACAACAAGTACATGCCTGTTATCCAGCCTGTTATAGAAAGGATAAATGAAGGATTGAGGTACAGCTTGGCTTAAGTAAAAAGAGAGACCTTAGCCAAAAAAAAGTAAAAAAGGATTATGGGTGTGGCTCAGTTGGTTGAGCGCCTGACTACAAGTGCAAGACTCTGAGTTTAAACCTTAATACCACCAAAAATGAAAAAAAATTCTAAAAAAAGATGGTACAATTTGCGAGTTGATTATTTGGATTACTTATAATAATTGGCCAATCTAATGGTCTTTTGGTTACATAGTTTAAATCAGCATTTCTAGAACTTGCCTTTTTGTTTCTCTTACACATTTGTTATTAAAAACAGTTGTATTATTAAATTGATTTTTTGATGAAAAAGAAATAGTTTTTACAAAAAAATGTTAATCTGTTAGCTTTAGTTTTCAGTAATAGTTGTTGGAATATAGCAGATTCTTAGATTACCTTGTTAAATTTTATTGTTTTCAGAAATCCAGTAGCAATGTTAGTAATCTTCTGTTTATTATTGTCTTGCAAGTCACTCTTTTTGTGTCTATTTTGTAGTGCATATTTGCTAACAGTTGAGTTGAAAATAAGTACTAAACTTTTAAAAGAATTTTTGAAAAAGCAAGTGTGGTAAATGCAATGCTAAATCCCACAATTTTTGGTGAGGTTTTGTATTTGGGAATTTTGGGGAATAATATATTAATTTTTTTCCCCAAATGGAACTTCAGTGAATGTAAATAACCTAAAATTCTTAAAGATAGAATATCCTGAAGATTCATAATCATAAAATATCAAAACTTGATAGCTTGTTATATCTGAGTATATATTTTTTAATTTTTTTAATAGGATACAACATCTATTGAAAAGATGTCAAACTGTTGTGAAGAAATGTAAGTATAAAAATGAAGTATGTGATTTTTTTCCATTTTAAAATGGAAACAGCTATGTGCATCTACTGGAAAGATAACACAATGCTGGCTTTTTATTGGTGCCTTGCTTGAGGCCTGAGCTAGAAGCATACATACCCCAGTCTTACCAAAGGGGGTCTTCTAGACATAGTTTTTAAACTAAGTAAGGACTAACTGTTCTTTCTCTCTTGTCTAACTAAAGTAAGTTAAATTATTTGTCCTGAAAGTACATCAAAAGAGATTTGCTACTGTGTGGTTGACACACATTCTGTTAATCCTGAGATTCTCCTCTGCTTCAAAAGTTGTCGTAGGTTGATTGACGATGCAGATACAATATATGCTATCCAGAGTTAAAACTCAGCTGCATGCCACAGTGAAAGAAAAGCTGTATTTGTGATGCTGGGACACAATTCATCAGAGTCCAGTAATGGATCCCCAGCCAACCTGTATTGTTTTAGCTGACTGAAGTGCACCATGGGAGTGCTGTCTTTCACTAATAATGCTGTCTTCTGTAGATCGAGGCCTCGAAAGCCATGGCAGCAGACCTTCTCAGAAGTTTTTGGCACTCGTTGGAAGATCCTGTGGTTCATTCCTTTCAGGCAGAGGCAACCACTGCGAGTTCCCTACCACTTTGCCAATCACGTCTAAACAGATGGATGGTGGGCACAGATGGGTCCTCCATGCTGGAAATGCGTTACAGGTTTTATGATAATAGAACTATGACAGTCTTCAAGTCAATTAAAATCCACCCTCCAATCTTAGGATCATAATGTGCCCCAGGCTTTATTTTAATAGTGATCTTGATCCTGTTGTGGTACTAATACAAGATCTATATTTAAGTTTAAAAGCATGTTTACTTTCAAATTAGCTTCCACCAGGATTTCTTTAAATGATTTTCTATTAACCGTAAAAGGCAATGATTGGGATGAAATCATTGTACATAAATTTCTTTTAGTACTGACAGTGTTGCAGATTTTAATTTATGGAAAATATCAGATGTTTATTTTTAAAAAATTAAGCAGTACTAACCAAAATCTGAGAATCAGTTCTTCAGATTTTACAACATACCTTTTTATGTGTAAATTTCCTTTTTCAAATACAAGGTAAATACTACTTCCTTTTATATGTGCTGATTTTTTTTCAATGCAGCTGAGAAGTGCCCAACAACAAAGGGCAGTGTTTTCTTAGGAGTAGCTTTCCAGTGTTTCTCCTTTTCTTTCCAACAAAACCAAAATAAAAATACCACTCAAGTAAATCACCAACTACCTATGTTACTGTAAGGAAAGATTAATTTCTCTCACATCAGTTTTCCTTTTCTCTTCCCTTTACTATTGTAATATTTGTTCCCAGGAGAAAATTTGTGAGCAGTGGGCATGTATTCCTATTTTACCTAAGATTTAATGAGCAAAGAGGGTAGAATATCTGCAATAATTCTAGTTCAGTTATATTAGAATGAATATGTTTTTAAAATGCTAGTATTACTAAATAATATGTGATGTACAGCATAAAGAAGAATATTGTGCTTTTAAAATGTATATACTTTTCACTTTTGTCTACTAGTAAATCTAAAATTATGCACTGAAGGTTTATACATAACAGAAACTGGCCAACTCATATTGAAATTTTATTAATAGAAAGTTACTAGTAAAAGTAAGTGACTAATTTTCAGGTTTTGAAAACTCAAACTGAAGTTAAATTTCTATTCAGCTATAATTCTCATTGTGATAGAGACCTTTTATTAGAAGCTGATGTTAGAAAATGACCTTAACCTAAGGAAATATTATTATCTATCTCATTAGCCTTACACAGATTTAAATTGCTGACAGTGATGGTCTCTTGGAAAGTATATAGAACATTTGTGTGAAAAGACATTTAGATATGCTTTGGAAAAATACCAGATTTTAATTTTTTCATTAGAATACTGCAAACCCATATATGTTGTAAAATTTTATGTACATTCCATCTTTACCCTGAAAAGATTGAGCCTATTGTTCTTGAACTATATTCATAATTTTATTGTATTTTTGAAAGTAAGGAATCATACCTGGAAAAATAATGAGTCGAATGTTATTGTTGTCAACTGATTATACCATGGCTAGTTTTTGCAGAAACTATAAATATCCTACAAAAATACTCTAAAATACTAGACTAAGTTCACAAATATTAATACCAAGCTTTCAGATCTTAATTATGTTTTATTATTTGAAAACAGATTTAGCAGATGAAAGTATTTATTTGTGCTGATAAGATGCACAGTGTCTAATATAAGAAATATATTTATAAAGTTTAATGAAATACAAAATCAATATGTGTCTTTTAGGGAACAGAGTTGAATTTTGGGTAAACTAAATGACCAAATTTGACTAGTGACAGAACTGATAAAATTTAGCAATGTATATATAATGTAGGTAGATGTAAATTGATGGTCTTATGTTATATACTTCGTTTCATACAAGAACCTGAGAAGAATAGTAGAGCCAAGTACAGACCTCAAAAAGAGCTTTATGGACATATTTATATTTCTGCAGAAGTAGTAGCTACAGTGAAAATCAGGGAGGTCGCTTTCTCATCGTGAGAATTTGTGTTCATTTTTTTTCCTTTTTTTAGATTTAACTCTTCTAGGACAGTCTCATCTTTCTCTTTATCCTCTCTGGCCCTGATCTCTTTGTAAGAAGTTCCTCTTAAGTTGTTGGACTACAAATTAATGTACTAGACAAGTCAATCCTTATTTTGTTTGATTTGCAGAAATGCTACATATCAACATAGTTATATAAGAACCTATGTTAAAGTATATATATACATATATATATATAATTTACTCATAACCTTCAGTATTCTCAAGTTATTCTCATAGCCCTATGATAAATTTGTAATTGTTAGATTATTGGAGAGAAGCCAATTGACAGTTTCTTGGGGATTATAGTCTGGTGTTCTTTCTGCGCCCTCTTTTGGCTAATTGATGTAATTATACTGGCTCGAGAGGTTTATTGTCTCATTAGTAAATTGCATAGCCAAGGTCAGAGGTACACAAGAGTGTATGTACAAAAGTGGAAAATTTATGAAAGTGAATGTGTTACAGTTTCGGATGCTATTTATACTTCAAATGAATGGAGTGATTGCTTTGTTTACGTATATTTTAGTGCAGTTTTTACTATCAGTCACAACTTTATACTAGATCAGGATAAACGAAGCTATTTCATGTATTTTACTTTAAACCTTGCTTTGACAAATTAAATTTTAGTAGTAGACAAAGCTATTCCTTTTTAAATTATCAGTTTATTACAAATACAGAAATTGATTCTACAATAGCAAATAAGTATGTACTGTTTTATTAATTATCTAAAAATGTATATTTAATTTTTCCCTGTCAAGTTAGAATGAATTTTGAAAACTGGATCTGTTTCCCTAAATCAACAAATGATTAATTAGTAATTCTAGCTCTGTTCTTTTTGTCCTTTTTTTAACTTTCCCAGTCAGAGTATCCCAGTATCTTCAACAGCCCATTTGCCATCTATTCAGAATAACCATGAATATAACTAAAACAGTTTAGAATTTGAAAGTAATTGTTAGCAGCCAGATCACTGATATAATCTGTATATTACTTGAAATATTTATACGCTTCTCATTTAATTTTAGCAAAGTTATTTTTATTTAATTTTTTAATATCTAAAACCTTTCCATTTTATTTAAAGTTTGGCTCAATGGTGTTTTTACATTATCAAAGTCATTTACTGGGCTTCTGGAAATGAAATGGTTTTACCAGGGTATAGTCATCCTGACTGAAAAGTCAGTCATTGTTTTCTGTAAACAAAAAAGTTCATGAGCTGCATGTAAGACTCAAGACCATAGGCAAAATCAGACTGAGCTGAGATTCCAGCCAATAGTAGGCATTTAGTTAGATATCTCCTCGTACTTTGTAAGCTAGACTCAGAGTTCTTAAACATCGTTAGCTGATACTCCATTACAGTAAAAATACCATTTTGGTTAAGAGTGCAATTTTAAAATATTTGCACTTAACATAAAAGCCAGCCATTTAAAATCATAATCAACATGTAAACCTCCTTTTCAGAATTTTTTTAAACTTTTAACAGTAAAGAAACAGGGACTTTAAGGCTGGTTCAGCACATGTAGACCCTGGTCTCAGTTCCCAGTGTGGATTTAAGAAAGTGAAATAGACACCAGAAACCTACATAAAATTCAGTATAACAACTGAGTTAAAACTTCCATTAGAATTAACATGAATGCATCTTTACTGATGAAGAGGTAAATTTTCTTTTTATTTTCCCCCGGTCCTGGGGCCTGAACTCTTGGCCTGGGCACTGACCCTCAGCTCTTCAGCTCAAGGCTACAGTGCCACTTTTGGCTATTTTCTGCGTATGTGGTGCTGAGGAATCGAACCCAGGGCTTCATGCATGCAAGGCAAGCACTCTACCACTGAGCCACCTTCCCAGCCATCCCATAGATGGTAGCTGGTTCTCACTATTTGTCATCAGATTTTCAGTCACTTCAATCTAAGTGGGTACTTAGAAATACATTTTGCTCAAAAGGGTATATTGAGTCTAAATGCTGATCATGAAAGCTAAAGTGAGAATAACACTTCCGACCAGGAAGTACAAACTAATGTCTATTACACACAATTTTATGTGTGCTAGATCATGGGGCAGTTTGAATATTCTATAAAATAAAATGTTCTGTAAAATCACAACATATGTAGCGATAGTTTAATATGTTACTGATATTTATTAACTGAGATAACTAGCTTCTCTCTAGGCTTTCTCTATTCTCAGTACTTCTTCAGTGCTTCCGGTATCAATTGCTTACCTAGCTCAAGTTTACTATAGTTACTCCATTAAGTAAGTTTTATATTACTTCTGATATGCAGATATATCTAGAATTACTAATAAAATTAAGTAGTTTACAAATAGATACAAATATTAGATTTTCATCCAACTCTATTATTGCTTTTAATATAAGTATTAACAAACGTAGTTGGTAAGTCATGTATATTCAGTATGTCCTGCTTGCTTATATTACTAACCACATAATTAATGAATGGCATATTCTTGAGTGCCCACATTTGTTGACTTTCATTGTTGGAATCATCATCTGAATTTATAAATCAAAAATTTTAGTGTGTTTTTTTCATTTTTAATTGAATTCTAGAATATCTTAGAATAGAATTTGAGAAAGTGTTAGAACCTACTTGCTTGAAGTATTTTGTACAAATAATATTTACTGTCTATTTAGCATTTCTGCTACATTTGGGGTAATGATGGTTAGCTTTAGGAAAATGACTTTTCTCACATTTCTTTCCTATCATATTGCAGTTTAAAAAAAGCACTCCATTATCTGTTTTTTCAGATGTTGCAATACTACCCACTAATGCTAAATTTAAACAGAAATAACAATGATATTTGAAATTGGTATTACAGGTATTACTGATTTTTCCATATCATATTTTTTTACTTTTCTACATCCTTTTTCCTTTGTCCACTCTTAGAGAACCGGTACAGATGAGTAGTATGTAACCAGAGAATTGGATTAGTAGAGTAGAAAAAGTTCAAAAGATGAGGAGAAGGCTAAAAAGCATGGATAATCAACGTCCCAGCAGCAGAGTTGACAGGAAACAGCTGCTGTGAGCTGAGCATTCCCTTCCTGTAGTCATTGTAGCTTCATCTCTTGTCAATACATACTGTATTGCTGTAAGTTGTTCCTACATGTAAGCATTTAGTTTTATTTTTTAAATCTTAAGTCATATTCTTTTTTTCCCAGTTGGTCAGATTTCTTTAAGAAATTATTTTAATTTTAAGTAAATAATTGTGTAGTATATGTTAACATACAATATCAAAAGTGATGTGAAAAATGCAGCTATTTGATGCGGAGGAGAGAAATGAGGTTACCTCTAGGAACTTTCTAGGAGTCTCTTTACAAAAGAGAGAACACTGTTAAAGAGTATTTGTGCCAGAGGAAACATTCATATGTAAAGATGGCTTATACTTTAATATTTGGAATCGTTTTGAATGCTTGAGGCCTCAGAACTGTTCACTATTGTCACTTTGAATTAAATTGTTACACATAAATGTAGTGCTTATGGACCCTGCTGATTTTGATATTAATAGCTTTATATATAAACAAAGGTGTAGACAAAACATCAACAACAAAAGGTGTTTCTTTCTTGTGGTTTTACTCACCTGTTAGACTTAATACAGGGTTGAATTGTTTGTAGGCTGTTCACTAAAGGAAAAATGTCTGCTTATCGCGAGTTCTGCATTCTTGCCAGTGTGTGCATAGGTGACATTTTTATCCACTGGTGCCTGAAGTTAGTGATTTATAACCTCAACAACTAAAACATCCTGGTGCTATTCACTTTAGCATAGAGTGACAATTTTAATTCCTGTACCAAAGAGTTCATTTTCTTCTCACATCTTTTGTGTTTTAAAGAAGCAAATGGTACTAAAAACAGCTTGATGATCAGCTCTTAATATTTTGCATCTGCTGCCTCAGTTTAATTAGTTATAAGTGTCTCTTATTTGTACTGAATTTGAAAAATCAGTTTTGGTAGGTTAGTTTGGACTTTAGATTTGTAGCTTAATATATATAGCTTGGCTACTTTCAAGAGTAATTTAATAGACTGAAATTACAAAAGATAATTGAAGCACTTTCATAAGAAATTTTCATTTGTATTTCTGCTGCAATGAAAAAAATAACATCTCAACGTTTATTTCTATAAATGAGCTGTATAACTTATAGGGCACTATTAAGGACTACTGAAACACAATGCTAAAATGGAGGTTTAGTAATGGTTCAGTTTGATTACAAATCAAGAATTCATGATCTCTATGTGTACAAATCTTCAGTGACTTTAAAGAATGATATTGCTTTTGTCTGTTTTGAAGATAAAGGTAAAATGAAAGAAACTTTAATATCTACACTTCCCCAATGGGAAATACAAATGTACCCTGATTTAAGCAAAACTGCTAATTGAACATTGAACTTTATTTAAAAAAAACAGAAATGAAAAGAATGTCTGGATATTATAATCACTTTACCTGAAAATTTGGATTTAGATTATTTTAAAGTCTAATTTTGCTTAGTGATTCATTTTACAAAAGTGGAGGAAGTTACCCCTTAAGTGTAATTGTCCAGTTGTGATTTTGCTATCTATATAATTCTTCTTTCTAAATTCTAAAAAAAAATACTCATTTATTGTTCCTAAAAGTGCAGCTGAAATGCTTGATCATTCTGGCAAGAAGATAACATATATTGGAAAAGTAGATAATCACATTTGAAATGTTTTTTTCATTACTGATTATTAAAATCAATCCCTTCTTGAATGTATATATAATATATGGTTTTGCAGTGAATTCTGAATGGAAAAAAGAATCATGACTTGAAACATGATTTCAAGTTGATATGTAGGTATCTAGATCAACATGTTAAAGGTGAAAGTAAAATTTAAAAACAAG